TATGGGACAAGGGGTGGGGGGTAGAACACTATGGGACAAGGGGAGGGGGGGAGCAGTGGTGTATCCTGGTTTTGTGCGGCCCTAGGCAGGTCAAAACTCAGATGCCCCGCTGCGCTTCTAAATACACACATTCACTGACAGATGCAGCTACACTGGCTAACAGACATGCCGCGCTCACTAACAGACACACACATTCACTAACAGACACACATAGTAACACACTCCCTAACAGACACACTCCCCTGACGAACGCACTCACTAACAGACACGCACACACGCTTCCAGCTTACACACTCACTTGGCGGCAATTTAACCCAGCCTCCTTACCTTTGGGAATGGGATAGGTTTCCGGGGGTCGAAATTTGGCTGCTGCTGGGCGGGCGGCGCTGGCCCGGCGGGGCGCTTTCCCCTGGGCTCTGCCAGCTCCCCTGCAGCATAAGCCCGCAGAGGTGATGCGGGGCCGGAATGCCGGCGTATATTCCGACTCCCAGCAGCCTCACTGCAGAAGCGTCGCAGCGGCTCAAACTCAGGAAAGGTACTTCCCGCGCCGACACGCCATGCATGGTTTGCAGACTTTTTGCCTCCCCTGGAAAGTACACCCAAGGCAAATGCCTTGTTGCCGGCTAAATACGTCCCTGGGGGAGAACACTGTACTCAGGACAGGGGTGGGGGTAGAACACTGTAAGGAACAGGGGGGAACAGTAGTATTGGACAAGAGGAGGAGAGTACTATTGGACAGCCAAGGGGAGGGAAAAGAACACTATGGGGCCGAGGGGGAGAACACTATTGGACAAGGGGAGGGGGGCTAAAGAACACTATGGGACAGGGGAGCAGAGGTTAAAGATGAGTATGTGACAGGGGAGGGGAGGTTAAAGATTAGTATGGGACAGGGGAGGGGGGGTTAAAGATCACTATGGGCAGGGCCGCCATCAGAAATTTTGGGGCCCCTAACACAGCTCAAGGTCTGGGCCCCCCTTCAAGCCCGCCTCCAAATCCCGCCCACAGGAATACTCACACAATAACAGATACAAATACTGAAACAGACATACACACATGCATAGGGAGATATTGACACACACACACACTCACACATATACAGGCAGACATACATACTGACAAACATATATATATACATACACATACTGCATACTGATATATACATACATACTGACAGGCATTCATACATACAGACACACACTGGCATACACGCACTGGCATACATACACACATACACTGGCATACATACAGGCATACACTGGCATACATACACACACACACTGGCATACACACACACACTGGCATTCACACACTGGCATACATACACTGGCATACACACATACACACACTGGCATACATACACACACTGGCATACATACACTGGAATACACATATACATACACTGGCATACATACACACACTGGCATACATACACCCACTGGCATACACTGGCATATATACACACTTACAAACATACACTGGCATACACACTGGCATACACACACTGGCATACATATACACACTGGCATACATACACACACTGGCATACACTGGTATACACACAGGCATACACTGGCATACATACACTGGCATTCACACATACATACACACACTGGCATACATTCACACACTGGCATACACACACACACATACACTGGCATACACACATACATACACTGGCATACATACACTGACATACATACACAGTGGCATACACACACACTGGCATACTGGCATACATACACTGGCATACACACATACATACACACACTGACATACATACACTGGCATACACACACTGGCATCCACATACACACACTGGCATACATACACACATACATACACTGGCATACACACATACATACACACACTGGCATATATACATACATACACTGGCATACATACATACATACACTGGCATACACACACTGGCATACACACACTGGCATACATACACACATACATTCACTAGCATACATACACACACTGGCATACACACATACATACACTGGCATACATACATATACACACTGGCATACACACATACACACAATGGCATACTGGCATACATACACTGGCATACCTACACTGGCATACATACATACACACACTGGCATACTGGCATACATACACTGGCATACATACACTGGCATACATACATACACACACTGGCATACATACATACACTGGCATACATACATCCCCAGCCACCCTCCTCTCTTCCTTACCATTTCGTCGCAGGAGGGTGGCTGGGGTTGATGGGCATCGGCTGCCTCTCCTCAGGCTGCGTCCTCCTTCCCGCGCGGAGTAAAGTGGGAGGAAGTGACCGGACGTCACTTCCTCCCAGCAGCACTTGCTTCCAGCTGCATTTTTTTTTTTAAAGGGGCCCGGTCGCGCTATTACAGCGCTGATTGGGCCCCTGAAGATAATAAGGCCCATTGTGTGGCCCTAAATGATTGGGGCCCGGGCGTTGTCATGGTTGTCAGGCCCTGATGGCGGCCCTGACTATGGGACAGGAGAGGGGAGTGGGTGGTAAGGAACACTATGGGACAGGGGAGGGTGGTGTTAAGAAACACTATGGGACAGTTTGTCCAGAATATTTTTTTTCTGGCTTTCCTCCTCTAAAAACTAGGTGCGTCTTATGGTGTGGTGCTTCTTATGGAGCGAAAAATACGGTACCTCTCTGAATTATTAATGGTAGAAATAGGATTTAAACAGCTGAATTAGCAGGTTTTTTTTTCATTCTTTAAATTCACAATAAATGTGCACACTGTAATAATATACCATGATGGCAGAATGATTACAAGACTATAGTCTTTTTTTTTTTTTTAATTAAATTTATTTTTGCATTGTAGACATTGCTTTTCATTCAGACACAGTTTCTCATTCATTCATGTCTTTTTAAGAAAAAACAAAACAAAACTGCTGTGAGTTAAGCACTCCATATCCACCTGTAATGACAAGATACTAACTATTTTCCTTCATGTTAATGTTCACATTCATCTCAAAACATCTCTACATGGTTGTCACTGAAATGTATTTGGTTGAGCGCACACTAAACCTGTACTCAAAACAGCTGGTTCTTATTTTATTTTTGGGAAACAGTATAAATCTGGGCTTTATATTCTTGGATTACTGAAGTACCAACACCTAAAGCAACCTGGACCTCTGAGCAAGGTTCTCTTTCTTTCAGAATTTTGCATGCCAACTAAGATACCCCCAGGGGCATTTCTTCAACCTGCTAAACAGCCTAAGGGGGCAGCAGTTGTCTGAAATGCCCAGTTTATGCCATAAAAAGCACACAGCTCATGTGAGACTAATTAGCAACATTCCTTTAGATAAAGCGTAACATGAAATGGGACCAAAAGGAACTGACAAAAAAAAAAAAAATGCATATCCAGTCAGTCTGCAAAGATCAACTGGCTTGCTTCTCCCTAATGCTTTAAAGGACCACTCTAGGCACCCAGACCACTTCAGCTTAATGAAGTGGTCTGGGTGCCAGGTCCTTCTAGGGTTAACCCATTTTTTCATAATTATAGCAGTTTCAGAGAAACTGCTATAATTATGAATGGGTTAAGCCTTCCCCCTAATCCTCTAGTGGCTGTCTCATTGACAGCCACTAGGAGGCGCTTGCGTGCTTCTCACTGTGATTTTCACAGTGAGAGCACGCAAGCGATCAAGGAAAGCATTGTAAATGCTTTCCTATGAAGACGGCTGAATCAGCCTTGCTCTTGCATGCCGTGCGCATTCAACATTTAACGGAGGAGGAGAGAGGCAGAGAGCTCTCCGCCCAGGCTGGAAAGGTAAGTTTTAACCCCTTTCCCCTTTCCAGAGCCGGGCGGGAGGGGGTCCCTGAGGGTGGGGGCACCCTCAGGGCACTATAGTGCCAGGAAAACGAGTATGTTTTCCTGGCACTATAGTGATCCTTTAAAGAAACACAGATTTTTATGGCAGATAAAAATCAGTAAAAACACTTTCTATATCCATTTCTTATGTGAAAGCACATGCATTATTCTTGCCTTAAAAGCAAGTCCAGCACATGGGGACATTTAAATAGGAATTGAGGAATTGTCATGTTGTTTTAGATCAAAGAAAACTTTGATAATTTGTCTATCTACACCTTCCAAATTGATTGATTAATGCGTGCACGCTTTCCCTAGAAGTAATTCACACCAGGGACAAAGTTTCTGATCAGTGAAAAACCCAGGAATGCTTTATTCCCCGGAGTGGGGGCTCCTTCTTAAAGCAAAAATACGTCACAGTTTAAACATACAGTATACATTCACCAATTGGTTAACAGTCTAAGGGGGGTCTTGTCTAAACCCCCCTACAGGATGTAGTGTCATCATTACAGACTTCTGGATACACGATGGGAGGGGGAGTGAGTAGTTTCTTTCAGTTTACTATAACAGTGATTCTCCATTTTGTTATACGTGGCATATAGCTGTTAACTGGCACAAAGGTAGTGGGGGAGGAGTTAGTAAAGGGAGTTGTTATCACAGGAATTTTGGTTACACAAGGTTTGATTGATTTGAAGGGGGATGCTTAGCACGATGAAGAATTTACATAGTAAACTGCAGTTGAACACATTGTAGGGGGGGAAGGGAATATTTACTCTAGAAGCCAGTTTTAACATAGTGAACAGAGAATAAATAGACATTAGTAAATAGCCATTTTATTTTAATTCATCTGTCCATAACAGTCCCCCCTTAAAATGGCAATTTTTACTAAAACTACTATCTCTCATTCTAATACTGTCCCTATAGAAAAATAACAAAATGCTATCTTGCACATCTGTCTGAACAGGCCTCGAACACTTCACTGCGCGGGTAACCCGTAGCAGCTTGTCCACTACTTCTTCCCGCGACAGACTTCTGCCCGTAGAGACAGACGCTATCCCTAAATGTCCTTAAGAGGAAGTAGCTGTTGATTTAGTGCGGTGGGACTGTAAGGGTGTATGTGGTGTATCACGGTCGATGTTGTCAATCTCTTGGTGAAGGAAGGTTGGGGTGGTCTGGTCGATTGTCTGATCAACTGTCTTTTGTAGGCATTTCTTAAGACAGGGTAACACACAACAAACAAGAAGAGCGAGGATGATTATCGTTATTAAAATGGCAACACCTATTTGGGTCAGAGCACCTTGCCATCCAGTCATCCATCCAAACCATCTTTCCCATGGATCTCTGGCCCCAGAATTTCGTTTCAGTTCATTGGACAAACTCTTTAACTTTTCTATTGCCAACGTTACCTTACCATTAGGGCCTGTATTATCTGGAATATAGGTACAGCATGTTATGGTGTCTGGGAGTATTTTACATACTCTCCCTTTTTCTGCCAAAATCATTTTTAAGCTTATTCTATTCTGGAAGGTCATCTCAGAGGTAGCTTGTAACCGCCCTATCCCACCATATATCCCATAACAAGTATAGTTCCCGGGATATATAGTAATGCCTTCGTCTGGGCATAATATTTTTAGTAATGATTGGGTATTAAGTTTCCATGACTCGCATGCTGACCGCTTAGGTTTAAATACAGTGTAGAGACTTAAAACGCATACTTCATATCCGGAGGAAGGTTCAGGGATACTGTACCTGGGTGAGGCCTCGCTCCTCTGCAGACATAGCAGTTAGACTTGTTATGTTTAGTAGCATTGTATTTCATCCATTCAAGTCACAAGTTAGTGTCAGAGAAACCTGTCTCTACAGCCCTCTTATCCTCAAATATGGGATGACTACCATGTCTTTTAAAGTCCTAATGTGTGGTTTGAGGGGATTAACAGTCATGTGCGTGGCACCTACCCATTCAGCTGAGTCATACATGTCCTGTAAGAAAAAGGTCTCCTGTTTATTGTATAAACCTCTTCCCTTCCAATTCAGATTTTATTAGCCGTAATGCTTGGGAGAATAGATTCAAACTTAGTTTCTTACCTTAAAATCATTTGGTACCCCCCTTGACACCCCTATGGCATTAATATACATATATATATATATATATATATATGTGTGGGTAAAACCACCCTTTATAGGGGTACTCCTTTTTGTCCTGAAGCATGAATGAGGTGTGTCAAGAGTACCTTGGGGATTGTCATGTGTTATGTGTATGGACATAATAACCTAGGCTAGGGCACATTTACTTATTCTTAGAAATCTTGTCTCATGCTACCCTAGTACTGGCAGATTCAGATCATTTAAACATTCAATATTAATATCACCACAAACTCAAGATAAGCAGATGATCCTGAAGAAGCTTTGACTGTGCGTATGGCACCTCAGACATGAGGGCTGCAGGGTAAGGAGTATGTTTGTTTCTCTTTAGTTTCACGAGGTCCCCTTTTGGGGTATTTGGCTTTCCATCGATGGCAGGTGGTCAGGCATTATTATGGCCATCAAAACACCCACTTGTTGATAGTTATTTATTTATTTATTTATTTTCAACAAGTATCTTTGTTCTCTAAGAATGGAGTTTCAAAAAGGGTTGTCAAGATCAACAAATGCTACTTCACATAATGCAGAGGCAGGCTTGATTCTGGAATGATGAATCCACGGGGTGATCTCTGTAACTTTCACAGTGCACTACTCAGCATGTGGTCTTGGTTATCACTTTGGTGGCTGGATAGGCCTCTGGCCATCCTGAAAACATTGTCTGCTATAATTAGTGCCTAGTTGAATCAGCCATTCTTTGGCATTCTGGATGTAGTCGACTTGACTCCTCTGGAAGAGATAATGAGGTTTGGCTAGATGCTTGGGGCTTTCCTCCATTCTTCCTGAGTTGCCCTTGGCACAAATGGCACAAGATTTACAGTAACTGTTGGTCAGAGAGGCAATTCCTGGTACTTCAGAATATTTATTGATCAAAAGAGTTCATGAGGGTTCTGGACAGATGCTCCGTAGGCCCACTGGACCACTGCTGAGTATATGTTCTTGGGCAAGTAGAACTTGAGATTGTTGAAGTACAGCCTGTCTTTAAGAGTTGCCCCTTTCTGTTTCCAGCTTGTGGTTTGTTTGTTTTTTTCTTTCTTTCCAGGGTCAGTAGCTTGCTTGTTATTCCTTCGGGCTTGATGTCTGTGGGTAGGATCTTACATGGTGAATATGGGAGTTTCTTCAGCAGACACTTTTCTGTCCACTTCCCTTAGTGCACTTACAACTTCTTGAACAACTTAGTCAGCCAGAGAGCTGCCACATGCTTCCTCTGAGTTCAGTCTTCCTTCAGAGATCTTGCATGCTGTGATGGGAGCCTATAGCTCAGCTTCTTGTGCAGACATTGTTGAGGTGAGATACTTGGTCCACTGTAGTGACAGCAAATCCGGAACAGATCATGAGGAAAAGGCTAAAAAAATAATAGTCAGTGTCTTATCATTTCCCCCCCTGGGAAGTGGCAGAAGAGTGGCCAGGTAAATAGAGTATCATCCCTGCAGGGTGACATTATCCTGCACAGAATTCATCCATCACAAGGAGAGGTGGGATATTGCATGGAAAGTCTCAGGTAACCAGGGCACCATTCGACACCAGAGCCTTAACCTGTTAGGGAATAGTAAGAGCTTGGACAGGCTTTGGGGCCTGTATAATTCAGGTAAAGGTATTGGGGGAACTAGCTAGGACCCTTGCCTCTTGGTCAGGTTTCACTGTGTGGAACAAAAGAAATAATAAGGTGATAGGGGCCTGCAAGTGGGGGAAGGACATCTGCATCTAGCAGATTAATTGGACAGGTGAACGTAACCACAAAGCAAGTCTTAGTTAACAGGCTACTCCAAGGAGAGCCATCTACACTTATGCAGGAGACAACAATGTTAGACAGGAATGAGGAGTCAGGCAGGCCTTGCTTGGTACAAATAGATGTCATGTGGCCTGCTATACAAGGCTGCATATAGTTGTTGGGCATGGGCCTTACTATGTACTAAAACTTAGGTTAAAAGAAAATTTGGGACAACCTGAAGTGATACTTCTCCACAGATGCTAACTCATCGTTGATGACATTGTTAATACAGGTAGCCTGATCAGCCAATTTATCTTAGGCTTAAACAAGTCACACCATGTAGTGGAATTGGTCATTAGGATTCGGGAAATTCTACAGTAAAAGGGCATAGTAAGGATGTATGCGATGTTACTTTAGGAGTAGGCGTGGCTGTGGATAGGGGGAAATCAGCCTTATCCATTCCCATATATTATTCCTTTTGTCTTCAGTATATCCAAAACATATGTATGTCCAGGCTTTGCAAAATATAGTAATCCATTATCAGTCATGACATTAAAATCTCATGAATTAAATCAAAGATTTTAAATCAACCTCAGAAGCAACAACATTGTTTTTTCTTCTGTAAAATGATTGGAGTTACTGTATAATTGCATACACCCAATATAACATTGCATGCTCCTCACTGCTACATTAGTGTATTTCATTCTGCCATATGTGCAAACTTGATTTAAATTTTTATTTTAATTAACCTAATACTTTCTTATAACACATATAAAAACAATGAAAAAACAGTACAGACTAACAATTAATTCAAACAACAAACTAACATAGATCTCTATTCTTGTGCTGTTTTTAATTCTGGAATCAGCCTGTGTACATCTGTTGGCAGACATATCCATGCTCATTCCCTAAACTGATCATATCTCTTGAAGTTATCTGATTCTTATAACTTTCTGTGTTACACTGCATTGCTGGTCTGTCTCCTAATTTCGATTTAGCTAAAATTGCTTTTATTTGTCTGATTATCAGTTTACAAGGAAAGGCTTTAATTGATTTATCTCCACATGTATTTTCTCTGTCAAAATTTTCAATCAACAAATTTAATTTCTCATTTGCTTTTGATTTGATATCGCGGATAAAATATCTGCAAGATCTTAAATAATGTTGTTTATTGCACCAAAAACAAATAACTTTAGGAGTTATATTCTGCCTTTGATTTGAACAAATTGGGAGTGGCTCAGCTGTCTGTATCACTCTTTTACACTGAGTCCACGAAGAAGAAGAAGGAGGGGTGTATAATCTGCACTAATTTCTCTGCCTAAATCCACAAGTCATTTTAACCCCTTCATTATTGGTTACTCTCCTTAAGTTATCCAAGAACAAAGCTACTTCTGTCAAAGTGCTTTTTTCTCTAGCTAACACAATTGCAGTTGGATCTAGATCTTGAAATATTTTCACAAATTCATTAATTAACTGATTCTCAGGAAAATTAGCAACAAGTATATATGCACTTTCAAATTTTGCAAGAAAACTAAATATATCCTCCCCCTTGTGTGGTTTTAGTTTTTCCAACATTTCAGTGTCTGCAAAATCATTCCCTGTTGTTAATTTTATTAATTGTGTTAATCTGTCTTGCTTATTTCCATATATTATTTTATCATTGTCCTGAAATTTTACAAGCGTGGTCAGTCTACATGCCATTTGAGTCGGCAGCCATATTTTAAACAATCTATTCCTTTGTTCGTCATTTAGGCTGTATTTGTCCACATTTGACTCAAACATTCCAGCATTAGTAAATGCATCCACTGACGTGTCATAAACTGGAATACATTTCACAATTTTCATTAATTGTTCATGTATTTTCAAATTAAGTTTTGCAGCTCTGTCTTGAAATTTATATTTCTGCAAATCACTCTGTGAGGATACATTTTCAGTATCTATTGGTTCTGGGATTAGATTCTGTGTCTGTATTTTTCTTGTATTAACACACACTTGCTTAACTTCATTTCTAAACTGGCAAATAAGATCATTTCTTAGTTCAACTCTATCCTCTAATTCACAGACTGTTTCTGACTGTTTACAGCATGTGCTCTCTGTTACATTGTTACACTGTTCATTTAAATCTGATTTGTCTTCTGTTAACCCATTCAAATCTACTTCTTTTTCTGATGATTCTAAATTGTCTTGACCTGCATCTCGTTTACAAATCAATGCATTGTAAGTACAGACTAGTTTCATAACATTTCTGATCTTTTGTTTTTTCTTATTAACAAACAATTTCTTGTCAATTTCACTATTGGCAATTTCACATTGTGTGCATAAAGATTGCCACAATACAGCATCTGAATAGCTGCTATTACATGCAAACTGCAATTTACTTTTCTCTGCAATATCATTTATGAATTCCACAATTCATTTGTTCCAACAAAATCTAACTTTCCTTATTCCAACATGCCAATAACCTCTTACTTAACAACATATACAAGATTACACAAGGTTCCTAACTAGGATATTCGTCCAGCAAAATATACCTTTTTTCCCTCACATTCCTCACTGAGTTTACAAGCATTTCACCCATTCACCCCCCCCTGTAGCCAATACTCATAGCAGTCATAGCAAGAGAAAGCAACAAAGAAGGAGGAGGGGGGAGGGAGGAAGACATGCAAGCACAAAGTTTTTTAACCATGTGATTGCCTAAGCACAGCTCTCCTTAGGACAAAAGATAGAATAGGAGAGTAACGATACAGATTGTATAGATTACAATTAACATATATGGTACCCAACAAGACATACACAGACAAAAGCACAAAATACAGATGTAATTAAATCACAAAGTTCTTAAAATAAATGCCGGCTTATAATAACTCAGATCACATACATAGAAACACGCAAACACACATACAACAACTTAACTCTTTGTTCGTTGTTTTTATTATTTCAACAAACAAATACACCAGGATATTGTCTATCCTGATCTAAAACAATCCGCCAGCTTTTTTTTTCCAAA